CCACAAAAAAACAGTGAAACAAATTTCCAGCCAAAGACAGCCTGAATGGTTGATCAGACAGGCATATTGCTCCGGGCGGGGAGAGGAGAGCAGTGCGGCATGGGCGCGCAGGTTGCGGCAACCCTGGAACAGGCCTCAGAGGACTGAATCACAGGCAGCTGTGGTGGTTTCCAGACTTCTCAACCTATGGAGGCCAAAGACAACTTAGAAGGTCAGTGGGAAAAGTCTGTGACTGCGGTGAGAGAGAGAAGTTAGGTTTCAGTCGCAAGTCCTGAGCTTCCAGCCCACAGACTGAGGGGGAATTGAGTGACTGATTAGAGGGTGATTGCAGGGATCTCTTTGCCAGTGCTGAGGCAGGAATCTCTTGCTTTGCCAGTGCTTGGATCTGGGTCACAGTTCTGAGGGGTGGTCCTGGGGCAAGGAGGAGTGCTGGCATGGTGGAGCTTGTTGTGGTGGTGGAGAGGAAACACCTTGCCCCTTATCATACCACCTTGGAAGAACTGAAAATTTATAGGTCCCTAGAAGTACCTCTGAAAACAACTGTACAAACCCCCAAAACTTGGGACAGTACATTCTCCACATTGGAAGCACACTCTTACCTTAACAAAGAGTTTAAAACTCAAGTAATTGGCCGGGATCATGAGTAAGCAGCACAAAAAGAGTCAGACTGTATTATCTTACTTTGGTGATAAAGAAGATCAAAACATACAACCAGAAGTAGATGACAAAGTCAAAGCTCCTACATCCAAAGTTTCCAAGAAAAATATGAATCAGTCCCAGGCCTTGGAAGAGCTCAAAAGGGATTTTAAGAAGCAAGTAAGAGAAGTAGAAGAAAAACTGGGAAGAGAAATGAAAGTGATGCAAGAAAATCATGAAAAACAAGTCAACAGCTTGCTAAAGGAAAACCAAAAAAATACTGAAGAAAATAACACCTTAAAAAATGGCCTAACCCAAATGGCAAAAGAGGTCCAAAAAGCCAATGAGGAGAAGAATGCCCTAAAAAGCAAAATTGGCCAAATGGAAAAGGAAGTCCAAAAGATTGCTGAAGAAAAGATTTCCTTAAAAATTAGAATAGAGCAATTGGAAGTTAGTGACTTTATGAGAAATCAAGACACTGTAAAACAAATCCAAAAGAATGAAAAATTAGAAAACAATGTGAAATATCTCATTGGAAAAACAACTGACCTGGAAAATAGATTCAGGAGAGAGAATTTAAAAATTAGTGGACTATCTGAAAGCCATGATCAAAAAAAGAGTCTAGACATCATCTTTCAAGAAATTATCAAGGAAAACTGCCTTGGTATTTTAGAACCAGAGGGAAAAATAGAAATTGAAAGAATCACCGATCTCCTCCCAAAAAAGATCCCTAAAGGAAAACCCCTAGGAATAATGTAGCCAAATTCCAGAGTTCCCAGGTCAATGAGAAAATATTATGAGCAGCCAGAAAGAAACAATTCAAATATTGTGGAAACACAATCAGGATAACACAAGATTTAGCAGCTTCTACATTAAGAGACCACAGGACATGGAATATAATATTCTGGAGGGTGAAAGAGATAGGATTACAACCAAGAATCACCTACCCAGCAAAACTGAGTATAATCCTTCAGGGGAAAAAATGATCATTCAGTGAAATAGAGGACTTTCAAGCATTCTTGATGAAAAGACCAGAGCTGAATAGAAAATTTGACTTTCAAATACAAGACTCAAGTGGAACATGAAGAGGTAAACAGGAAAGAGAAATCATAAGAGACTTATTATGGTTGAACTGTTTACATTCCTGCATGGAAAGATGATATTTGTAACTCATGAGACCTTTGTTGGTATTAGGGTAGTTGGAAGGAAAAAATTATATGTATGCATAGATAGATAGATAGATAGAGGGCACAGGATTAGTTGAAGATGAAGGGGTCATATCTGGAGAATAAAATTAAGGGGTGAGAGAGGATTATACTTGGAGAAGGAGAAAGGGAGAGGTAGAATGGGGTAAATTATTTCACAAAAAAAAACCAGAAAAGAAAAAACTCTTACAGTGGAGGGGAAACAGGGGAAGGTGAGAGGGAATGAGTGAATATTATTCTCATAGAATTTGACTTAAGGAGGGAATAACATACACACTCAATTGGGTATGGAAATCTGTCTTACCATACAGGAAAATAGCGAGGGAAGGGGACAAGCAAGTAGGGGGATGATAGAGAGGAGGGCAGATTGGGAAAGGGGGTAATCAGAAGCAAATACTTCTGAGGAGGGACAGGGTCAAAAGACAGAACAGAATAAATGGGGGAGGTGGGATAGGATTAAGGGAAATAGAGTTAGTTTTTCACAGCATGTCTACTATGGAAGTGTTTTGCATAAGCGCACATGTATAACCTATATTGAGTTGCTTGCCTTTTCAATAAGGATGGGTGGGGAGGGAGGAAGGGAGAAAATTTGGAACCCAAAGTTTTAAAAACACATGTTTAAAAAAATGTTTTCACATGCAACTGGGAAATAAGAAATACAGGAAAATGGGGTACAGAAACCTATCTTGCCCTACAAGAAAACTAAAAATAAGTAAATTTATTAATAAAAAAAGACCTGTGTCTTCCTTGGTACTGTGTTGTTGTTCAGTTGTGTCTGACTCTTCACAATCCCATTTGGGGTTTTCCTAATAGAGAGATTGGAGTGGTTTGCCATTTGCTCTTCCAGCTCATTTGACAGATGAGGAAACTGAGGCAAACAGGGTGGAGTGACTTGTTCAGGGTCACACAGCTAGTAAGGGTCTGAAAGCCAGATTTGAACTCAGAAAGATGAGTCTTTCTGACTCTGGAGCCAGTGCTCTGTGCACCATGGTATCCCCAAGCTGGCCCAAGTATATAATAAATTATTGTTCTAAAATAAATTTGAAAAGCACCTGCAAAAGTATGAAAATCAAGGTAGGTTCTCACTTGGGGAGAGAAGCTCATAGATCTTCTGGTCCTATGGGACCATAAAGACCTAGTTCCAACCCTTCATCGTTTTCTTTAATGAGTGCCATTGACCCAGAGGCGTGCTAGAACCAGCTCGCACAAACTCTTGAGAACTGATTATCAAATTCAGTGTGATATTTAAACCTCAGGAATTGGCAGATGACACAGTCAGGGCTTGATTTATTGTTTTGTCAACTGACTAGACTTAAGAAAGTGATGGAGAAAATATTAATGATTCAGACTAACTGAAAAAAGTGTGGGTTTTTTGGAGAGCTGGTTGTTAAATATTTACCAGGACAGCCTTATATTAAGCTCCTTTTATTTTTACATTACATTTATTTTTGAATAGAGGAATTTTTGGATAAATTCAGCTGGTGGCACAGTGTATAGAACACTGAGCCTGGAGTCAGGAGGACTTGAGCTCAAATGTGGCCTCAGACACTAACTAGCTATATGACCCTGGGTAAGTCACTTAGCCCTGTTTACCTCAGTTTCTTCATTTGTAAAGTGAATTGGAGAAAGAAATTGCAAGCTAGTCTAGTATCTTGGCCATGAAAATCCTAAATGGGGTCTCAAAGAGTCAGAGAGGACTAAACAACAAATGGTATTCATGAAGAGATAGACCTCTTATTCATTGAGTATGAATTTTACCACTCATCTGTGACTTGCCTATGGCTATAACTTAAAGGGCAATTTCAGTCCTAGTTGCCTCTTTCAAAGAGAACTTAGAAAGTCAAGCAATGATTTTGAAAGTTATGATTAAATGCATGATGAGGGGTGGGGGAAGACAAAGAAGATATGGCCATTGTCCAGAATTTTTTAGTTTTCAAAGTATCAATGACTCAGCAGGTCCAAGATGGTATGAATGATGTGAGAGCTGCTGAATAATTAGTAAATAATGGAAATACTAGCTGTGTGACCCTGAGCAAGTCACTCCACCCTGTTTGCCTCAGTTTCCTCACCTGTCAAATGAACTGGAAGAGGAAATGGCAAATATCAGAATGGATGGATAAGTTTTAGCTTGCTTAAATTTCTGAAAAAAATACTGATTTTTTTCTTGATAAACCCCAAATCATCTTATGAAGTTGATACCAACCCACACACTCACTTACTTTCATTATCTCACTGGTCAATTTTACCCAATCTACTGGGTATCAGAACAGTTTTCACAATGGCTCAGTAGCCATTCTTCACTATGGATCAGGTAGCTCTTTATTGGGGCCTGTGATAAGAAAGGCATTTCACTGGAAATGTTGTGACGCAGTGGAAAGAACATGGGTTAGGGCAGCAAATGAGTTTGTTTGAATCTCACCCCTGATACTTGTAACCTATGGGACCTCAGACCACATAACTTTTCTGAGTTTCCTTGTCTGAAAAATAAAAGTGTTGGACTCTGAGATGCCTTCTACCTTGATGTCCAAGGTTCTACAGAAGGTCTCTTATATCTTAAAGTGTAAAATCAGTTGATAAAAAGAAAGCTTCTCCAGAGTTTACCTTTCTGGAGATTGTTTATGAGAAAAGGGAGTTATCAGCTGGTGAATCATATGGGTGGTTCTCACTTTACTGAAGTGGGTAATGAATGTGGTTGTGAATGAGAAAAAGGTAGATTTCAGATGACATGGGACAAGTACTGAGGAAGTGGTTAAAAGGACCAATGGAGAACATTGGGCATTGGAGAACATAGGAGAACATTGCTTTGACCAGAGCTAATTGGGAAATCTGGAGAATAGAGGAAGATTAGCAAGGGAGTCTCTACTGGAGTTTCCATATACCACTGCATGGTTAGGTTTCTGGGGGTGTTGGTAAAAGTTCTGAAGGACTTGGTGGAGAGCTTAACTTACGTAATCTGAAACAAATGATTTTGGCAGTAGTCCTTTAGATGTGCTTACTTAAAAACATAAAGGGGTGGAGGGAAATATCAGAATTTAATTGTGGATTTCATGAAGAGTTATCCAGACAAGGGAAAGTTGGGTGAGCTTCAACAAGAAAGAGCCTTTTGGAAATTGATTTGATTTTGCCGTGGCTAGTCTTTGTTTCAGATGGCAGCCAGACACTAGAGATTAGGAAGAAGGTAAAGGTGTGGAGAGCAGAAAACATGGTGAGTAGAAGGGGTAAATTTAGAGCTATAGGCGAAGATTTTTTTTTGTTTCCTTTTGATATTGCTTTTTTCCTATTCTGATTAGATTACTGTCAAGGGCACCTGGGAGTGTCAACTGAAAAATGTGTCTTGTTAAAAGGATACCTATCTATTAGTACAGGGATTCTTAACCTAGAGTCTATGAACTTGAATGGGAAAAAATATTTTGATAACTGTATTTTGGCTTTTTTTGTAATCCTATGTATTTTATTTTATGCATTTAAAAGCAATATTCTAAAAAAAGGTTGGCAGTCTTCACCAGACAGCTAATGGTTAAGAATCTCTGCATTAATAGATGCCTTGTCAGAGCCATCCATTTGTGAAAGTCCCTGGATAGTTGAATGATTTCTAAGTGGCTTTAATTGAGGATTGTTAAACGCCAGTGATAATTAATGAGTTACTAAGCTAAGCAATGTGCAATTACTCTCTTTCTAGTACTCTCTTTTTCATTTATACAATTGAAAGTAAAATTTTATATACCATTTTTAGTAAAATACCTTTATTAGATAATAAATAATGAGAGTCTACCCTGATATAAGTATATTCTTTTTAAAAAATTTTGTAGTAATTATATTTGTCTAATTGAACATTTGCAAACCCTTCTTCCCACTTACTACCAGTGTGACCTTGGATAAGTCATTAAACTTCACTGGGCCTCAGTTTTTTCATCTGCAAAATGAAAGAGTTGAAATTAAATTACCTCTGAAATTCCTTCCAGCTTTAAATCTATGATTGTATGAAATAAGTTACTTATTTTACTTCAGAATGAAGTTTTGCCCTGAATTCAATTTTCTCCTTATGTTTAAATATTTTTAAATCTACTTAACATATAGAGTTATAGCTGCTGTTGGTGGGGAGGAAAATTTTATATATCACTGCAAATTCTTTTATCCCATATGGGGCAATGCATAGTTGTATTTTCAGAAAGTTTTAGATGCTTCTCCTCCCTCCATTCCCTCCCCTCCAAAAAAAGAAGTATTTTGTATGAATGGATCACCTTTTATTACAGATGGGAAAATAGCTTGAGCAATTTTGTAGAAAAGAAGAAACTGACCTAGCAGTCCAAGGTAAACAGAAGGACTGTGCCATATTTCACTTTAGGCTCACCCAAACAGACAGAAAGCAAACGCTTCCCTCCCTGCTATCTTTGTACATAAGATTAAAAGCAGCAGCTGCTCCTACCTTCCTGGAACAATCTATTATACGTGATTGCTTAACTTCAGCCTACAGATCTGGATGGAAGACGCAATCCTTCCCTCAACAGTTCAATCATTTCATTCTGGGATAGTTCCAGCAAACTCCCTGTTCCTTCATTTACTCCAATTGGCACCCAACTTTTTCCCTTTAGGGTCAGAGCATGGTATGAAGCACGTCAGGATAATCTTAGACACACTTGTTATTGAACATGCAGTCAAGGAGCATTTGGTAAGCACCGTCTTTGTGCCAGGCACTGTGCTGGGAAACAGGGATATACATATAATGAATTAGACAGTCCCTACTGGCAAGGAGCTCACGTCTAATATGTAAGAAAACATTTACATGTCTAAGTATGTAAGGAATATATAAAGCACATTTATACAAAGTAGCTATAGAATGTGTACAAAGAATAAAGACAAAGTAGTTGAATACAAGATCATTTGGAAGAGAGGCCACTAGCATTGAATTAATATATAAACTAATGGCCTTTATTAGACGTCTGCTAGGTATCAAGCCCTGTGCTAAGCACTGGGGATACAAATGCCAAAAGAAGACAGTCCCTGACCTCAAGAAGCTTAACTCTAAGTGGGGAGACAGCAGGGGATTGAGGCCAGAAAGATGGAGAGTGGAACATTTGGACAGTCAACTATTGTGCCCTCCCCTGGTGCAATGGGAGTAGTCATTTGATTCTCCTTTGTTCTCAAAGAGGACAGTGACATCAGGGAGGTGATGTCTCAAAGCAAGGTGTGGGGAGTGGAGAGTGGGGAGGGAGAAAGGATTGAGCAAGAGGTTGGGAGGGCAACGAGGTAGCTGGCAGGAGGAAGGTGAATTGGAGGCTAAATGGACAAAAGTAACTTAGCTCCTCCCAGGCTTGGCCTCTGAAGAATTCCATCATTACAAAACACCTCAGTGGGGTCGCAGTCTTTGCCTGAGGACTTCCATTGAGGGAAAATCCATTTCTTCCCAAGGCATTCCACTCCATAGCTCTCACTGCTAGAAAGTTCTTTCAAGACAGCAAGCATAAATTTGTTTCTTGCAATTTCCACTTATTCCTCCTAGTTTTGCCCTCTGAGGCCAAATGGAACAAGTTTAAGCCATAATCTTTCCTCAGGCAGCTCTTCAAATACTTAAACACAACCAGAAAATTCCCTCCTCCTCTAGTCTTCTCTTCCCCAGGAGAAATATACCCAGTTTCTTTGACTGATGCTCAAATGGCAGGAAATACATTTTATAGACCACTCCCATTATAAACCCAGATACAATTACTTAGCTCTTAGAGGGATTCTTAATATTAAATTAGATTAGTTGTGGCCCTTTGTTTCTGATCATGGAGAAATGCTTCATTTCCCTGATCTATTTATTCCATAGCTGATGGAAAGTATCAGGGCTTTGTTTATTTTGTCCTGGCCTGTGATTTCACTGGTATAAAAAAATCCTTGATCAGGAACTTCCTCTATCAATTCAGATCAGCAATTGCCTGGCAACCTGTCGTCTCAGGGAGTTGCCTGGAAGACTGAGGAAAAGTGACTTACTCAGTGTCCCACATCAAAGGCCAAATTTGAACCTTGGTTTTTCTGGCGTGGAGGCCAGCTTTCTACTCACCAGGCTGTCTTTCTTCTAAGGTATGGGCCTGTTATTATGTGTGAACTCATTTTATAGCTGAGGAAATAAACACAAAGAGAAGAGTGACCAGTCCATGTTGCAGGTTCTTTCTGCTTTGAGCAGAGAAGCTGAAAATTCCACCCGTAAGAAGGGAGAAGATGTAACAAGGGAGAATTTACTTTCTGGCTGTGATTCAGCAGAACTAGGAAGCTCTGCTCATAGAGGAGAAACTTTGGCAGTACTTGGAAGGCAGTGACCATGCCAGCTTAGGGTTAATGACACATAGAAGGGAAAGAACACAGTCATAATCTGATATGTCTCTTAGATTTTGACACCATCGTTTCTAAAGAGTTCAGGAAAAGGAGAACAAGGTCTCAGAGCCCAAAGGGTTGACAGAGGAAGTTGGTTCACTAGGTATATTAAGTTGTTCCAGTCACGTCCGACTCTTTGTGACCCCATTTGGGGTTTTCCTGGCAGAGATACTGGAGGGGTTTGCCATTTCCTTCTCCAACTCATTTTATAGATGAGGAACTGAGGTAAACAGGGTGAAGTGATTCGCCCAGCTAATAAGTCTCTGAGCTGGGGTTTGAACTCAGGAAGATGAATTTTTCTCACTCCAAGCCCAGTGCTCTATCTACTGCACCACCCAGGTGCCCTCTCTAGGGATGACCCTGAAATGTAGACAACAGGAACACACATGATTGTGAAGAAGAAAAGGAGGAGCTACCTAAACAGACTGATGGGCTGCACAGGGAGCTCATTATCTAAGATTAAAAAAAAAACAAAGCCATATACAAAAGATGTAAACATGGGCAAGTAACTGGACATGAAGAGAAACCTTGGCATGACCCTATCAGAACAGAGTCAGGAACGCTGAAACTCAGGGCAATGTTGGGTTTACAAAAGATGCTAAGGACAAACATTTGAAGTAGTGTTTGAGGAGCAAGAGAAAGATCACAGAAGGAGAGAGCGCTTGGAATTGGTGGGACAATGAGAACAGGCGCCTGAAGGTAGAACTACTCAACTCTGATTTTTTGTCTGTTTTATCTAGTAGGGAGAATGCCATTCCGACTGGGAAGGAAAGAACAACACATGAAGGACCCAAGATAATGGAAACCCAGGGTAACTGTAGAGATTACACACACTGCTTGTGCTCCCGGAGTAGGATGTAAACCCCTTGAGGGTAGGGCCTGCCTCCTTTTGGCCTTAGTAGCCCAGTGCTGAGAAGGAAGAAAACAGGCATTTATTTAGTGCCTACTATGTGTCAGGCACCGTGCTAAGTGCTTTACAACTTTTTGTCATTTGATCATCACAATAACCCTTGGGAGGTATTTTACAGTTGAAGAGACTGAGGCAGACAGAAGTTAAGTGACTTGCCCAGGGTCACACAGTTAGTGTCTGAGGACAGATTTGAACTTAGATCTTCCTGCCTTTAGACCCAGAGCTCTACCCACTGCACCATCTTGCTGGGCATAGTGCCTTGCACATAGCTGGTGCTTAATAAATATTTGATGAATTGAAACTAATTGATTTGAACTGATAGAGAACTTGACTACCCATAATGAGTTCAAATGACAAGTTCTAGAAGATCATCTCCAACTTGTCTCGTCTCCACCTTGTTTGTGCAAAGTTGTTTGCACATTGGCTCCTTCGCTAAACTGTGAGCTCTTCGAGGGGAGGGACTTTCCCTGTCTTTGTATCCCCAGCACTTAGCATGGTGCCTTCCACATAAGGGCTTAATAAAAGCTTATTGACTGACGACTGGCTGACTACATGATCTCCCTGCCCTGATATAAAAAAGACTCCGAGTTGGTCTGCTGAGCTTTGGTGATGACCATTAAAGTCAGAATGAGAGGTTTCCTGCAGAATGAGAGACAGGCAGCTGCTGCTCTGGTTTTCAAAACAGGGAAACAGGCATATTGTCCAAACCTGACTTCCACTCCTGGTAAAGTTCTAGAGACAACTAATAAAGTCCTAGTTTGAAGGTGCCAGGAAGGAGAATTGAAGAACACTCAGCCAGTCAGCAAGGATTTCTCAGGAGCAAGTTGTATCAGACTAGCCACATTTCTTATTTTGATAGGGTTACTAGATATGGGAAATGGGAAAATGCCAAAGACATCCTATATACCCACATGTCAGCAAGTTATTGGACCAATTTTCTC